AGGAAGGAAGGGAGGGAGGGAGGGAGGAAGGAAGGAAGGAACCTGGAACAAAGCACATCCTTTGGACTTACATTCCTGTGCTCAACTTCCTCCATCCAGGAGACAGAGCTGTGACCAGCACTAGACAGAGCAGTGAGCCTCCCAGCCCGTGGAGGCTCTAAGCTGAGTGCCTAGAGGAAAGAGGCTTCCAGGTGTGGTGGGTCCCGCTAAGTACAGACCAGGAGCGCTACAAGAGCTTTGTGACACATCTAAGGGGCATCCTGACCGTACTTCCTCCGAGACCAATCTGTATTGTTCTGGCAGTCCATGGTCCTTTCAATGTTCTTTGCCAACACCATAATTCAAACCCATCAAGTCTTCTGCAGTCTTGTTTTTCCATTGTCCATCTTCCTTTAAAAATTTTTTTCCCATTGTCCATCTTTCACATGCGTATGAGGTGATTGAAAACACCCTGGCTTGCATCCGTCAGGCACACCTAAGCCTTCAAAGTGGCTTCTTTTCCTTTTTACACTTGAAAGTGGTCTTGTGCAGCAGGTGTGTCCCATGCAATACATCACTTTATGGCTTGACTACTGGTTCCCATGAGTGTTGATCGTGCATCCGAGTAAGATGAAATCTGCAAGTGCATCCATCTTGTTTCACTGTATTATGATGCTGTCTGTCGATCCTGTTGTGAGGATGGTGGTCATCTCAACGTGGAGGTTTAACCCATTCTGCAGACGCTAGTCTCTGATCTTCATCCAGAAGCGCTTCAAGGTCTGCTGAATCTTCAAGCAATATTCTTATTGAATATTGATTAAGGAAAGCAGGCAGGATGTTTGTCGCTTGCTGCTTCCTTAACAGGGCATGCTGCAGATCACAGCTCTTCATTTGGAATTCCTACTGCCTAGCAAATTAGTAGGTCACGAAGGCCCCAGAGAAAAATTGAAGTAGGCCAGACTGAGTTTGGACAAAGCTCTTCTAGCCAATGGGAAAACGCCGACCTTGAGGAGCTTCCTGATGCTTCCCTAACTTTCTCCCTATGTCCTTGAAAGTGATTCACTGGAACAAACAGTCAGAGGAAGGTTACGAAAGTATTGGAATGGTCCCCAAATTGCAGCCTGGAAATAATTCCGCATATCCCCACCGTGACGGCCTACTTCGCCGCAGCCTTGTGAGAGGTGGAAACGGCCTGCCATCAGATGATTGGGAACGAGTGAAGCCAGAGTATCACCGCCCGGCTTCTTAGCAGTTAGGCTCCCAGCAAAAAAGCAGGTTATCATTCTCGAAGGAGTCACTGAAGAGCAATAAATAAAGGAACCCTTTGTAGAACGGGAGAAAATAAAGGGAGTCACCTGGCAATAGTGAAATCTCAACGACTAGTCATGGGAAGAGGGTGTCAGAAACTGTAGGTCTGGCAGGAGCAGGAAGAAAGAGGCATTGTCCAAGAAGAGTTGTCCTGCGAGAGAGCCTGCTCTACAGGAGGACTGTTTCAGGGGGAGGTGCCCACACACTGGTGTGGGATTTCCTTAAAGTTGATCTGCCTTCACCGCAGGACCCCTAGCAATGTGTTTGCATGCCCCTCCTACCTGGGTTTTTTCAAAACTTCCAAGGTTAAGAGATTTTAAACACATTTGGTTAAGATCATGGTCTACCAAAGCGTGTGCATAAGCAAATGTGGTGAAGAAAGCTGATGGTGCCTGGCTAGCAGAAGATATAGCATCTGGAGTCTTAAAGGCTTGAAGATAAACAAGCAGCCATCTAGCTGAGAAGCAACAAAGCCCACATGGAAAAAGCCTGTGTGACCACGAGGTGTCGATGGGATCGAGTATCAGGCATCAAAGAACAAAAAAATCATACCATGAATAAGGGGAGTGCAGAGCGGAGACCCAAAGCCCATCTGTAGGCAAATGGACATCCCCTTACAGAAGGGTTGAGGGGAGGAGATGAGCCAGTCAGGGTGCAGTGTAGCACCGATGAAACATACAACTTTCCTCTAGTTCTTTAATGCTTCTTCCCACCCCCACTATCATGATCCCAATTCTACCTTACAAATCCAGCTAGACCAGAGGATGTACACTGGTACAGATAGGAACTGGGAAACACATGGAATCCAGGACAGATAAACCCCTCAGGACCAAAAATGAGAGTGGCAATACCAGGAGGGTAAGGAGGAGATGGGGTAGAAGGGGGGAACCGATCTCAAGGATCATCATGTAACCCCCTCCCTGGGGGACTGACAACAGAAAAGTGGGTGAAGGGAGACGTCGGACAGTGTAAGACATGACAAAATAAAAATAATTTATAAATTATCAATGGTTCATGAGGGAGGGGGCAGGGAGGGGAAAAATGAGGAGCTGATACCAAGGGCTCAAGTAGAAAGCAAATGTTTTGAGACTGATGAGGGCAACAAATGTACAAATGTGCTTGACGCAATAGATGTATGAATTGTGATGAGTTGTACGAGCCCCCAATAAAATGATTTTAAAAAAAGATCATTGTCTACCTCCATACCTACTTTCTCCCTATTGTGCTTGCTCTCATGTGGAGTGGCACTGCAAAGGCCATAGCAAGTTTGGGGATACAGCCCAGGGGAAGGTGAGGAGGCTGGAAATGCATTCAGTTCAGATTGAGTGGAATTGTTTTCTGTAGTTGCCATCACTTATGAGTACAGTTCAGGTACTGGTCCTTGTGTAGAAATGCTTTCAGCAACACACCTAGCACTCATGTCCACACATTCTTTTGTATTCATAATTATTTTTTTAATCAAGAAGCTGTCCCTTTACATTGTATTTACTCCAGACCTCGGAAAACCTTCATCTGCCCTTCATAACCACCGCGCACACCACTGCTCAGCTGGAGTGACGATGGGGGCTACTGGCCAAGTCATCAGAGGGCTAGAGGTCACCCATGAGACTGTCCCAAAACACCAACCTACCCAACTTCAAAGGATTCAATTCCAACTCAGGGTGACCTTAGTAGCAGTGTACCCCATTAAGTTGTCAGTGGTTGATGTTACCAGGCAGGGAGGGCATTGTTAAAGCAGATACGGGCTATAGTACAAAAGTCTTTTAATTATGAGAAAGCATTAGAATTTATTTTTTTTTGCCAAACTACTGAGAATTCCGGCCCTGCCAAGTTGACACTAAACCTGACGGTCATGGTAATCTTTCTGGATCTAAAATTCCAATAGTAAAGGGTAGCAGGGTCAGATTCATTATTTTCCCATCTATAATTCCAAGTGAGAAAATGGAAAAAAGAGTAGGTTGACTCACAAGAAACACGAAGGCTCAGGACGATAGGTAACGCTGCAAGTCTGGAAGGTACTGGAAGCTGCTCTTGAGCAAACTAGCCAATAACTCAAAACCAGAGCTCATCTGGCTTTATAATAACAGTTGGCATTTTTGCTGGCTACCTAAAAACCTGTCTATTTCTTTGCAAATTACCTTCACCTTACTGACGAACCCCAAAACTCTCTGATGTTGTTAGAACTTTGAATACCTCAAAATCCTCTGCGCTGGCACTGCCAAATCCCCCCCCCCTTCCCAAGATGCCCTTTCCACACTTTTCCAACCTGCTTGGTGCCCCATGGGACTCACCTTTGGTGTGCATGAAGGTACTCTCTTGCATCAAGCTGCTGAAACCAGAAGGGAATCCAGACAGGAGATCAAAGCAAAGAAGGAGAAACAAAGAAAAAAATCAGGTTGTTTACTCCCCCTTCTCCACCCTGGGGCGGTACCAGGGCTGATGGTGCCTCCACTGTGGGCTACAGTCCCTACACGGTGGCTCTGCCACACAGCTCTCCCTGGCCCCAAGGTCCTGCCCTCCCCAAGCCCTCCCTCTGTTCTTCCACCTACCACTTTGTAAACAGTGCCTTTTACTAAACCCTCCTCAGATTACCCAATTTGAGGGAGCCATCTGTTTACCGCCAGGATCTCAATTCATCTTCTAAACGATGACTTGCCCAAATCCCAAACACCAGACATATGCTCTCTTTTGTCACAAAGCAGTAATCATTTATTATTTTTTTACATCATTGACAGGTATTTATAGGCAAATAGATTTTCACTTTAAGACCCACAAAGGTTAAGAGTGAGATAAAAACAGCATGCAATCAGACCGTTCTTTTTCCTGTTTGGTTTGAATCATGTCTGTGGTGTTTGTAACTGAATGATTTGCTCGTCCAACGAATCTACCCCAAAGACTGACTCTCCACGTGTGGGGCCCACATGATTGACAGCTTGACATCTCTGCATCCGGAGCCCTTGCTTGCAACCCCATTAACTCTCTGCTCAGCCCTGGCCTCACTCTGAGAAAGGTGGTTGGATTTGTGACAGTTCTCTGTATCTATACCCATGCTGGTCCCTGTATAGACCAGATAATCCAGAACTAAGGTGTACCCAAACAGCTGCAAAATACACATTTCCTAGCCATATAAAAGGAAACAGGGTCGTCTAAGACATCAATAGCTGTAGAAGTAAAACGAAACCATAAACCTTTACATAAAAATAGTAGAGAGTTCAGTGTGCTTGACTGCTGATTCTTTTGATCCAAAAGACGGTTTCTGTATTTTATTTAAAACCTAGTAAATATATCACAATTGTGAAGATTAAGTTGTACCTACATAGCCAAATAAAGTGGAGTTAAGGCAATTGTCCAGGTAATGCAGGATAAAAACCTACTCTACAGTTAGGTCCGTGACTCTCTAGGGCCAGGCAAAGGCAGGGACAGGAGTGAGGCCATGTTCGGCCGGTCAGGTCAACCCAAATCCGCTCCTCCTAGCATTATTGTATGTTCCCCAAACCTCAGCATTTCAGAAAAGGGTTGGGGTTCTCAACTATCTGAATGTTGATGTCAGCTGTCATTCTTTCTGTGATTGCAGACAGAGACGAGACAACAACGAGATTTTCATCTTACATGTTCAAACTGGTGAACACCACTGATCCCTTTATATAGATTCATAATGTGTTAGGGCCGGAATTGAACTTCTGAATTCACCTAGCCCTGCTTCGTCATGTTGTAGATAAGGAAACTCGAGGCCAGAAGATTAAGCAACTTGCTCAAAATCCCTTTTATAAGGCTGAGAGCCCACGAATCCCAGAGCCAAGGCGTCTCCCTACACAATGCTTCATTTCACTGCCAGTTTTCCGTTAGACCGACAGGTGGTGGATCCTTCCAACTGCTTCGTTCAGTGACTCCTCCCTTCTGCTCTTGGTCTGATCCTGAGCACACACATCAGAGTGGGGTGAGGACTCAGCAGCAGGTGGTCCAGAAGATGTTTGCCTATCCTTGCAAATGAATTCAGGACTGCAAATCAGAATGGGGCCAGTTTGGATGCGTGGTGCGATGTACCTCAACGTTTACATCCATGCACATGTGTCGTTGTTTTGAAGAGGAGGAGGGGCAAAAGGGTGATAAAGTTAGAAATGATGGATCAATGTAGCCTCGTTAACTGCTATGTGAACAGTTCACACGGAAAAGACTGAAAAATATCAGGTCAGAGAACTTGGGACCCAACACTCCAACTGATAAAGTGGACAGACCAATGGCCCAGAGCAACGCTTTCAGTGGCATTTGACTTGATGCTACTCACAAGGGCTCCGTCTGTATTGTGTCAAATTTATATGTTTTTAACGCTACCATGAAAGTGCTTCTAAACAGAAAATGGAATGAAGTCAGGAGTTATTGAGCACACGGTTTCTTTGTTAGCAAGGAAAAACTTTTTTTTTTTTTGGCAAATGGTTCTATACTTATAGAACATGAAGACACTTAGAACTAGTCTCCCCAAGACGGAAATGCCCCAAATAGGAAGTTGCAAGGCACATACGGCTGCCCCAGCAGTTCATCCAAGTCATCTTTAGCATGTGAAGGTTTCGTTGTGCTTTTAGCTTGTTATCCATGCGGCGTGCCCTGACAAAAGTGACATCCGTGCGTAGGTCTCATTTCTTTCCCCATGGGCCCATCCTCTCCCCCTTTTCGGACGTTCCCTTTCTGCAGAACAACGTTTGTTGAGTTCCTTGCTTGGTAAAGGACCTTGTCCGCCGTCACAGGCTTGGAAAGATGCACGTCACAATGAGCGCCCTATTTTCTCTAGGGACGACGTCCAAGTTATCTTTGTCCCCTAACACACATTGGAGAAACAGAGGTTGCGTTTCCTTTGTGACCTGACAGGAGGATGGGAGTCTCTGGCGCTGTCAGTGTGATGGGACTTCGATATCCTCATTTGTGGGACTGTGGAAGCCCAGCACTGCTCTCTCTTCTCACGGGCTGCTTCAGGCTGACTTCACTTCCCGAAGAGATGATCGGCAGACTGTTATCCATGTGGTATCTGATCAGGTGGCCGACATGATCAAACACATGATCCTTGGTCCTCACCTTGGAAAGGAAATACAAGTGTATTTCAGTTAAAGAATCACAGCTCTCAAACTATGTAAAAAAAAAAACAAAACCCAGGCGAGGGTGAGGGGGGATCAGAAACCTAACGTATTCCTGAAATAGATATTTTGCTGAATGAAGAAAAGGAAAAGTACTTTCCAACACCGCGTCCCCCCTGTGAAACAATGGTCTCGCGCCCCATTGCCTTTTTAAAGCAATAGTCTATGTAATTATTAAAAGGGTAAACATGGGTCATCCAAGCCATCAGGCTCTTTGTTATGCTGCTGTTGGATATTTATGTCACCATGTCTGGTTGGTAGACAAGAATAAACCCAAGGATTACAACTATATTCCATCCAAAGAGTGCTCCCACCATCCTCTGTCTCTACGGGAAGCAAGCTCTTCTGGAAGGAGACTGCCTCTCTGGTTTCCTCCAAGACACCTTCGCAGACCTTTCCGTGGAGAAATCATCTCTCTCGCCTGCTGAATTCACAGTGACTTATTCACAAATGTACCTTGACTACATGCTAAACTAATAATATCCCTAAGGTTATGCCATCTCCTGTGAACTTTTCCCTCATATCACTGCCTCCTTACCCTGTACATAAAGAGTCCAGGTGATGCTGTGGGATAGGTCCAGGGCTACTAGCTTCAAGGTTGAGGGTTCAAGCCCACCAGCTGCTCTTTGGGAGAAAGATGAGGCTGGCTGCTCCCATAAAGATTTACCATCTCAGAAACCCTTAGGAGCAGTTCTACTCTGTCCTTTAGGGTCGCTGTGAGTTAGAATTGACTTGATGGCAAAGGGCTACCTCGTGCACGGGCAGAAGGCATTGCTATCTACATTAGCTGTGCTGGCTCATCAGCCTCACCATGCTTTCATGCATGTTTAGAAAGAGGCTGGGAACTGTTCAGAAGAGGGAAGGGTGTGGCCAGGGAGTGATCTGTCATATAAGTCTGGGGGCTACTCCCCTATAATTCCCCTATAAAGGATTCCTTGAGTTCTATCTGTCTGCACATGGGATTTCAGCTTCTTAAACAGCACACGCTCTTAGGGTTAATTGGCATTTTAATCTGGCCTATGAATTCAAGGATGGAATTGTATCCACGTTAAATGTCCTGATTATGACCAAGGTACTATGATTGTGCAAAAGCATATCCTTTTCTAAATACCCACTCAAACAATTCCAGGTAACCGGCACCCAGTCTCCAACTGACTCTCAGCTGGCTCTAAGCCTTGAAAACCTCCTCCTCTTGCTGCCTCAAATACATCTCATCATCTCAACAGTCCTGCAACCTGGGTTCTTCGTTCCCACTCACTCTGCCTGCCCCTCTCTCCTCCTCGGGCCATTGTCCTGGTCAGGCCGTCTCTATTGTCACCCACAACCCTAGTTGCTTCCTCCATACCTTGTGACTTCTTTCTAAGCAGCCCCGTGCACAGCTTAAGCTTCCTAGAGCAGAGATTGTCAACGGGCCACTCTCTGGCCTGGCACTCCACAAAGGCAGTTTGCTGGGGGGGCCTGAGGACTGTTCACCCACAGAGAGCTTTGTGAGGAATCAGAATGCAAACCAGGGAAACTTGGTGCAAGACTCTGGTCCTGTGGCTTCTTTGGAAAAATCAAATCTGGCCCCACTGGACCTCAGCCCTACATGGCAACTGCTGGCTGGAGCTGCGTGGTGACTGTCCCCTGGGACAGGACGTGCGCTACCTAGTCCACTCGATGCTCAGGCTGCCCCTTGGCTCAGCTTTACTCGCTTACAGTGCCTGCTTGGCCCTGCAGACAGTTGTGCCTATGACCCCGTTCCACCAGCTGTAGTTACATTACTCCTCTCCTCCAGCAATGCCAACAATGTCTCCCTGCTCTCAGCAATCAGGCATTTCCTTCTGCATGCACAGTCCTACCCTACACCAGGGCTTCTCGGGGTCATTGTTCCACCATAGACATTCTGTGCTCCCACCACACCTGCTAATCCTCTATTAGTTTAAGAGTGCCCCCCCCGGCCCCCCGCTCTGCCTGCTCACAGGGCTACCAATGCGCAAAAGCCCTCCCTCGTAAAATTCTGCCCCCCCATCAAAGTTCAACTTATCTGCCAGACCCTGCAATAAGCCTTTCTAATTGGTTGCAATCAGAGTACCTGGAAAAACACCAGGAGGCTTTGATTGCCCTCTCCCACCTCATCCAGCACAGGTTAAGGATCTGTTGGATTAAATGATAAGCACCCAGAGAGCAAAGAGCGGGTGGGGAATGCTAAGAAACAGTCAGCTGAGAAACCCTGCACTTCCATGCAGCGGATACTCGGTGCGCTGGTAGAACTGGACTGAATGGGAGAGAAAGAGGCGGCCTCCCATTTGATAAGCAGGATGACTTCCTACTCAGTCCTGTCCACTGGCCTCTACTTAGCACTTCCTGCTCCAGCCAGAGCTTCCAGAAAAAGTAAGTCTTTAGCCTTGAGCACTCTTCAAACCCAGGTTTTAGATCAGTCCTTGAGAGTAGCCCTACGAGAATCCCATCTGAAGCAGCCGATAACAAGAGGCCAATGATACCTTGCCTTCGGGATCCACCAGGAGAAGATGTTTTGCCTGGCCTCCCTGGAGTCCACTCAGTACATACTGGCCAGGGGATGTTGCACTCTCTCGAACCAAAAAGTCCCCATCCTTTACCAAGAGGCTCTCTGCCGCCTTCCGGCTCAGCTTGCCATGGTAGCAGTCTTCATTCCGCAGCTGCTGCTTAATGTGTGGCAAAGATCGGGAGCTGGTAGGCTGGGCTGTGGCTCCAGGTTGAACGGTCTCTGGTGCCTCTGAAGTGGGGACACAGAAGAGACATAGCCCCCTGAGTTACTTTTGCCTTTGTTCCGCCTCTTCCTTTCTGGAATACTCAAAAGGGTCTCCAGGAGACAGGCAAGGCTATCAGAATGATCCATAGCATGGTCAGACTGATAACAGAAAATGCTTGCCGGGAGTTCATATGTTTACATTGGCCAAGTTGCCAGTGCATCACCCCGAAAACCAATCTTTGTCTTTTGAAATGCAAACCAGCATTCACACAGGAATGCTTTTCCTGACTCTGAGTTTTACAACGCGTACTGCATGTTTCATACGGCAAATTCACCAGGACGAATGACCACGAAACTGGCCTTCACCTTTTTAAATGCAGAATCGCGGTCCATGTCCTCATTCAAGGGTCTCTTCACAAAGGAGAAACCTTCTGAATCGAGCCTTACGATTTATCCACCATCCTCCCCTGGGCTCGTTGGCCGGGGCGACCTGCAGCTGTCAGCCAGCTTGCTCTTGAACGGGTTAGAGTCCTGTCTGCACTAATTGCTCTCCGCATGCCACATTTTGGACACAAGATTCACAAAGAAATATCTGGGACCTCTGCAAGTTGCTGGAACTATTCTGCTCGACAAACAATCGGGTCTTTCTATTATCGCAGCAAAAACAAAAACAAGAAGAAATGTGTTTAGATTTGATGGACAGTTCTTGCAGTTGGGGTGTGTGTGAGAGAGAGAGAGAGAAAGAGAGAATAAGTGGTGTGCATGCATGGGTGGGTGTGAGCGCACACATCTTAGATCGTGATGGCTCTTGGTTTATTTTGAGATTATGGTGAAGAGCTTTTGGAAGAGGACAAAACAAAGAGAAAACAGACATTATATCATCCTGAAATAAGGCAACAGATCGCCAGCCAGCCAGAGGATATGGATAATGTTTTCTTAACACAGTTCTCCAAATGGCCAGCACAGGCACAGTGGCGGGGATTTGAGGCTAAGCCTGTTGAAAGCAGAAGAGCTGACAGATCGTTTTCTTAATTTTATTTTAATGTTAAAAGTTACACAGGCTGGCTTTTCAAACCTTGGGCACCAAAGAAGGGAAAAATCATGTATGGTCTCAACACTCAATAAAGCCCTGGTTAACATTATCAATTCCTTTTTTTAATGTAAAATTGATTTTGTGAAAGATAGTAATAATCAAAATATGGTTTTCATATATGCTATTTAATAAAGTCTTGGTTTAATGAAAAGATATTTTCTCAGAAGGAAGAATGAAGGAAACAACAAGGAAAGCCCCTCTTCGCACTAAGTCGTTACTGGCGGGGCTGCAACCCACAAGGTGAAGAGTTTGAAAGCAGCAGAGGCTCCTCAGAAGAAGGAGGGGCTTTCCAGCCTGTGGACAGTTACCGGCTCAGGAACACCGGGCAGTTGACCCTGTCCTGTAGGGTCACTCTGAGTCAGCATTGACTTGATAGTAGTGAGTTTGTTTTGGGGGGGCTGGGTTTTTATTTTCACTGTTGTAAACGGAGCCGGGATGTCGTGGTGGCTACATTCTGGGCTGCCAACCGCAAAGCCAGAGTTTGAAGGCACCAGTATCTCCGGGGGGAGAAAGACAAGACTTTGCACTCCCTTAAAGAGTCACCATCTCTGAAACTCTCTGGGGGCAGTTCTACCCTGTCCTATGGGGTCCCGGTGAGTCAGCACCACTCAATGGCAGTGAGAGGTTAGAGATTTAGGGAAAAGACTAATTATGGCTTCTTAATTATGCCTAGTGGGATCTTTAAAGAAATTGTCACATTAGCAATCTGGATGAAATCATCCCAAGCCATGCCCAAGAAGGACGGATGAGGCATTTAAAGAGCTGAGGGTCAATGGCAAAGACAGCATAACCCCATGTGTCAGACAGGGTTCTCTAGAGAGATAAAACCAAGTTGCTGACAATTTAATATCTTTATTTATAAAGATAATTAGATAAATAACAAGAAATGAACTGTTAAATCATATACAGACAAATATATAATACAAGAAATAAACAGTTCAATTATAAAGCACTACAAATGGCTCAGTGCAACTCACTCCCATGAGAGAGAGTTGTGAGAGACTAGCAGTCCTTCAAGTCTAGTTTGCTGCCAGATCTTCCTCTATTTGTAGAGAGAGCTAGGCAATGTCGGCACAGCAGCCAATCACAAGGCAGGTCACAACTGCCAGCCAGGTCACCCACCGCCAGTCCCCAGCTCCAGAGATGTCTTAAAGGGACCTCAACTTACAGCGACACAGTCCACAGGCTAGGCGTCCCACAGGTAGTGTAGCCTTTAAA